GGACTCTCTTATCGATGCTACGTCAGCAAGAGGGAGAGTTTAGGAGATTCTTACTCAGTCCTACGTACCTATAAAACAAAACTCTGCCCCCTTCTGGTTTTCAAAGTGTAATTTCAATATATATGTAGAAAAGAACCTGTATTTTAGAATTCCAAGTTGAATCTCTAAACAGACCTGTGACGCAGATACGTACTGACAACACAGCTATAAAGACAGCACTGACTTCAGCCACCAGTATAACTCAACTAAGGTAGCAGCTTAAAAAACACACAGCTTAGTAATGGCCTTAAAATGCATTTATTTGCAAAACAAAATGCTTCTCTGCAAGCCCTCCCCTCTGAAACGGAGCTTAACTGGAAAACAAGCTCTCCTTACCTCCGGTGTGTGTGTTGTAGTAATAGGTATGACCATCTTCACTGACACCTTCTACCCACTCTGCTCCCTAAGAAAAAGATACAGGAGCTAATTAAAAAAGTGTTAGGGGTCAGCCAAAGCGTCACATAGAAGACTGTTCAACTCTTGAGTGTTTTTTGTGATAATTTCAGTGTTTTAAAGCTTGAACCCCTGAAATTGTTAGAAAGTACACCCTTCCACTCAAATACTGCTTACCTTAAAATGCTGCAAACACACACCCACCATTTTTTTTTCCAAGCAGTGGATAATTAGAACGAGGCAGTACAGTAAATGTTGCCATACGTCTCAAATTATTATACAGACAGTTATTTTACATGGGTTTTATTTTCTCAAGTATTCACCCCTGAGGTTGTCATTTCCTGTTTGTGTCACTGTCTTTAGCAGATACTGATAAAAAATTTCTCTGGCAGACTTAGGGTTTTGTGAGGAATACAGGAAAATGATACCAATGAATACTGTCACATACTGAACACCAACGAATAAAAAAAAACCTGATGAAATTTATCAAAAATAGATCTTTACCAGGAAAAAAAAAAAAAAAAATATCGGAACAAAACTTTGCAGAAATGCATGCCAATGAATTCACTTCTTTAGTAAAGCACCAAAGTGCTGTTTTTCCCCTAAACATGCATGAAGTGTGGCAGAAGTTGCTGGTGTGTCTTTGTGGATGTGTAATTAAAATAAAGATGTTTTGCAGCATCAGCCACAGCTAGATAATCAGTTACCCAGGACATCATCTTCTTTAAGAACCTGATTTTCATCGACACTTACACTTGAAGCTCCTTCACTGCCCCTCAAGTACCGACACTGCCCGCTGCCCTGCGTTAGGCAGAACATTGATGCAGCGTCACCAGGCGTTATTTTTGCATTAATAAATGTCTGTGAGGGTGTATACAGACACACACACTTGTAGACAGGCTTTTGCACACACACCCCCACACATTTGCTTAATACACTGTTAGAACTCTGTTGGTTTGGGTTTTTTTTTTTAAAAAAAAAAACCACCAACAAAATCAGAAGTTTGAGTTCTTGCACCCGCTCTGCCAACAGGCAAAATCGCACTGGTAGGGTCCAAGCAGGCGAAGGCAAGAAAGCTCTCAGCCAGCAAGTTCCCTCAAGGTTTTGCTCTAAAGGTTTGAGCATGCTAGTTTCAACACAAGAAGCAAAAGGAACATGTGTTTTATATATGTTGAAAGTGGGGAGGTTTAGGTTAGATATCAGGAAGAAATTCTTCCCGGAGAGAGTGGTGAAGCATTGGAACAGGTTTCCCAGAGAAGCTGTGGATGCCCCATCCCTGGGAGTGTTCAAGGCCAGGCTGGGAGAGGCTTTGAGCAACCTGGTCTAGTGGAAGGTGTCCCTGCCCATGGCAGGGGGGTTGGAACTAGATGGTCTTTAAGGTCTCTTCCAACCCAAACCATCCTATGATTCTATGGTATAAGTAGAAAAAGGACAAAAGCTGGTCTGAAGTATAACCTATCCTTTTTGTTAATTAGATCCTAAGGATTTTAGACCTGGCTTGTAGAGGTTTTCAGCAGGTATTTGACACTAGGCACACTGAGTATGCTACTACATATCCTCCGAGAAGCCTGATGTCAACCTAAATCATCTGGAACTAGATGATCTTTAAGGTCCCTTCCAACCCAAACCATTCTATGAATCTATGATTCATTCTAAATGCAGTTAGAGGGAGTCTCCAGCACACCTTTTCATCACGCTGTTCTTGGGTGGTCTGCACAGCACCCTAACGTGCTGTAAAACAAGGAGGGCCTGTGAATCTCACTTGCACTGCACACTACAAGCATGCCCTTCGGTTTCTGGGCAGCGAGTCCTTGTCAGAGATCTGGAATGTTCCCCGTATCTTTAGCTCAGACTAAATAAGGGAGCAATCAAATGCTTGTTTTTAGCAACAGCAAAAATAACTGGAGAGACCACAAAGTCAGCGAGCAGGGTGAGGGAGGAATGGCAAAATACAGCCATGTGGCCTTAGAGAGATATCCACGGCTCAAGGTGTGTGTTTATGATACAGCCGAGATGAGCCACCGCCGAACTGCTGCCAAGAAGGGAGCTCCTTCTCTCCTCCATCTGCTCTCCCCCCACCAGCGTTTCTCTGATCACCCGGAGTGCTGATGGCAAGGGAATAAGCCTACAAAGCACCAACCCCAACTCCGGTGTTTTCACCCCCTGACCCAGTTCACGGTCAGGGCCAGTACGCACCAAGGGCCGTAAGAGATTAGTCACAGGGCCTTGGGTGGAAGGCTGCCGTGAGAGTGGCTCAGAAATATTGCAACGCTACGCCTTGACTGACAAGATGAAAGTCCAAGTGCTGGTTAACATGCTATGCAACACCGCAGGGCAGAGGAATCGGAGAGCATGTGATGGGCAGCTCCGACACGAACCGAACACGAACCTTGGGAGTGAACACTGGATGGAAAAAGCCTGTGTTTCTGAGATAAAACACTGCCTTCCAAGAGATGGAATACAGACGGGACTTCACACTTTGTGAATTGATTCAATTGCCTAAAAATATACAGTTATAACCATTTTCACCTCTGGCCGTGAGTAAACCAGTATACCAGGCCTAGGCTGCCTTCTGAGGTGTGACAATCCAGAGCTACAGAATGTCAAGCACTCTGAAAAGCCAGGCTTTTGTGACCTCTAACATGAAATCCAACATAAGCAAACAAAACTGCCTATAGATCATACTGTACACAGGACACCTGACTTGAAAATGGGAGATGTAATACCACTTCACAGGAGAGTTGGAACAATCCTATTTTTAATGTTGTGCAGCACAAAAATCCTGAAGTGATAAGTATCAGGGGACAGCCTAATAATAACAACAACAACAATAACAACAACAACAATAACAATAATGAATCTTTCTTTCTTTAGACTATTCTGCAAATTTTCCTGTGCCTTAAGTAAGGAAAATAAAGTTATATACCAAAAGGTTTCTTGCATACAGGTTCCACGACTGTAAGACACTCAGGAAAAAGACAGATTATCACATAACTGTATCCTAAAGCAAACACAAAGTATAGGCTTTCAATTTTAGGGGCTGAAGCACCAAAAAAAAGTATATTCTGTAAAAACACAACCACCACTATACTTCCCTTCCCCTGATGAACAAATGAGCCAAAATAGATTCGTATAGTAAAATTTCAGTTTTCATCAAATAGATCATAAACCATTCTATGTATTTAAATTATGTTCTTCTAAGCTTGCTAAGAGCAAACAATTCATCTTCTGCAATCAGCTTGCAAACTGCTTAGCTTATTTCTAATAAGTGTTTACAAGGACAAAGAAAAGTATGAGTAACAGTATTTGATTACCTTTTGAGAGCTGCCCTGGAATCCTTTAGGTTTCTCCCACTGTGACTCTTAAAAAACAAAACCATAGTTCAGCCATCATTCAATCCTGTTTGTAATCTTTAGAAAAAAAACAGACCTAAAGGGTGTGACACCGATGCGTACACACCTGCAGACACACCTCACTGGAATATAAATTATTCTTGATCAAACTGGGGTATGAACAATAACCAAAGTACTGTAATTACAGTCTGCTTTACCGGGGTGAACCACCTTCCAGACTCCGTTATGGCTGATACACAGATACTGCAAGTTTGGTATAAAAAAGGTGCATTTTTTTTTTTTAGCAGTAGCCTAGGCCAGAAGAAACTAAACACGCAAGACTTTTATCTTTTGGAAGTTATCTTGTAGGAGGAAAGACTATGGTAAATACTGATGTCAATCCTTAAATTTCTAAGAAAGTTTGTTAATCACATAAAAGAGTTGCTCGTTAATCATAAAAGAGGGTTACTTTTATGCTCTGAAGTGGATCGCAACACAGAGCTCCTCAACAGAAGCCAGTCAGTTAGATAAATCCCGCAAACGGAAAGAAACAATCCATCAGCAACCCATAACTGCTGTCATTTACTGGGGCACCATCAATTCATTTCACATTCCTGATCAGAAAGCTTCTTGAGGAAGAACACAGCTATCTTTTGCAAACTTAACCCCTGAAGGCTAAACATTTCCAGAAACCGAAATTACTGCATCCTTCCGTTATTAACAAACAGCAAAACCAGGCTGAAGTCCTGGGTGCCTGTCTTGAATGTGGAATATTAAAACTCCAGGTAATTATTCAAATTTTAATAACCATCTTACTACTGAGAGAGCAGAAAAAGAAAAAAAACGCAGGCAGGTTTTACCTCCTGTTTTTGTATTGTAGTAATATGTATAGCCTTCGGGAGAAAGTCCTTGCACCCACTCCTTGGTTTCACTTTTTGGTGGCATTGAGGGATCCTCGGGTGTCTTTTTTTTCTTTTCTTTCTTTTCCTTCTTTTCCTTCTTCTCTTTCTTCTCTTTCTTTCCTTTAGTTTCCACAGTGCTACTCTGTGTTTTACTCTGTGTCGAACTGGGACCTACCTCATCTTAAAAGAAAATAATACTTCTTTTTAAAAAAAGAGTAACAATCTGGGCTTAAATATTAGTCACTGGAGTAACAGCAAATAGGAAACTTTGTTGTTACTTTCACTCATGAGTGTTACAGCCGTAGCAGGTAAACTTTCAAAGAATCTTGCACTGTAGCAATACTGTACTGCCATAAGAAAGTCTAAATATCAAAAGATAAGTAACATAAAGAGAAAAAACCATAGGGGCCAATGAGCTCTAAGTAAACAACAAAAGAGAAACTGAGAGAGTTATGAAAAAGACAGCTTCTACAGGAGCTTGAAACGACAACCTTTTTCAAAGGAGAACAGGTCTCCACCTGGACAGAACGAAAGTACTGGCTGAACTGCACACTGGGCAGGAGGTTCTCATCTCCGCTGCCTGACGCCAGCGGGGACCCAACCTCTCCCACTCAAAGGCAACTCTTGTCTCCAACTGGCAAAAGCTAAACAGAAAATTAACTAAGGGAAGCTGCGCTGCTGGTTCAGGGCACCAACTACAGCCTGGGCTTTGTTATCACGTTGTTTAACTTCTCTGCTCCCAGTCGGATTGCTCCATGGCCCAGAGGACACCGTAGATAAAAACATTCTGTACTGCAACTTCTACCACTGGCAATTTGCAGACTCCTTTTTCTAGTTTGTTTTTAAATGAGCAAACGCAGTCCTGGAGGCCTTCTCTCACGTTCCTAAAACCTAATTTAAGCAAAAAACTTTCCTATTCAATATTCTTTTAATTCTGTCTTTAATCCTTTGGCAGCTATATGAACTACCTGGCTTAATTCCAAGCCTTTTCAAATCCTCTTGATATGCTTTCATTGCGGCTTCCTCCATTGCTGCAAATTCTTTTGACATGTTTTCTTCTTCTTTGGCTTTTTCCAAGCTTTTCTTTTTAATCTAAAACAAAACAAAAAACCCCCAGAGAATGATTTCAACAAAACTGATAACAAAAGAGGTTGAAAATAAGCGTTTGTACCAACAGGATATTTGAGTTACCTCGCTAATTCGTTTTGCCACATTTTCTTTATGATTCTTTCCTCTTTCATGAAAGTCAATGCTCTTCAAAGCGAGAAAAAAAAAAAGCAAGAAAAATAATATGCATTAGACATATGCATATGTTAAAATTTAGTTAGACTAAACTTACTTGAAAAAGCCTAAGTGTAACCTGCTCTGAAAACACAGCAAACACTGCAGCTATGAAATGGCTATAGGCATTCAGGGACACTGAAAAACACTCAGCATACGAAAAATCAGTATCACTGATCAATAGTATCATAAAATTTTGCAGTCTGTATTTATAAGACTTAATTTTTTTTTCAAATAATACTGTTCAGCACACCTATCAGAGACAAGTAATAGGGAATCTGAGCTCCCTCTCCATTCTATCCTTCCAAGTACCATCCCTTGATTTATTTTTTTGTTGCCCTCTCCATTTCCATGAAAACATTTAAAAACCATATGGCTTATTTAGCATTCCAAATATTAGCTACGGTCCTTAATTAGATGATGCTACGTTCCACAAATATCCCGTGAACTTCAACTAATCTGGAGGTTCAAAAGCTGAGAGAGAAGGGGAAAAGGCAAAGCGGAGGAGTTGGATCAGTAAGGACAACAGCACAGTCTGCAAGCCGAAAAGCTGCCAGAAAGACTGAAGCCAGCAGGAACCGGGAGGAGTTCAGAAGCTCTACGGGTACCACAGTGGAAGTTCTCACATGGTTTTCACACAACCCATCCGAGCTCGTGTCGGTGCTCGGATGCCAGCTGCCTAAGCCTGACCTAGTAACCCCAGCCAACTCATGGGCAGAGGACGCACATCCAGGGGACGATCTGCGTAAAGACAGACTTTATCTGTTACTGAAATGCCACCCCCTTCAACGTGTATCCTCACTGATCACCAGGAGGAGCCCAAACCAGCTAGCTCCCACCTGTCGTTCTGAACTGCAGGTAACTGTAAGGTGAAGCTCGGCCCCAGGACACCCTGGAATGCTAAACTTATTTCTGAGTGAGAAACGAATGGCCACCTGTCATTCTGAACTGCAGGTAACTGTAAGCCAGGTGAAGCTCGGCCCCAGGACACCCTGGAATGCTAAACTTATTTCTGAGTGAGAAACGAATGGGTCTGGCAGTCTGCAAAAGACATCCTGCAAGTCAGAAACAGCCTCTGTAATGTCTGCGGGCTGTGGCTTTAAGCACTCAGAGCGCCGGCGGCACCAGGCCTACCATACGTAAACAGTACGTATGCCAGGCTTTGCTTCCTCCTGGTGTGTGAAGGGTGGGAACAGGCATGGACAAAGTTTCAAGACAGATCACAGGTTACAGAACTTGAAGAAAAAGCAGGCTTGGCTATTTCGATTCTTATCTGTACTGCCAAGCAGAGCAGCACACACCACCTCGTCTGCAGGGATCTGGCTTGCACGTAATTTGTTTTAAACACCGCAAGTATTACAAAGGCATTTTTAAACCCCCAAAATTTCACGCCTCAACAGATTAGTATAAAAAGTGACGTTAAAAGCCTGCAATTCAAATTCCTCGTGTTTCAGAATCATCGACATAGGAGGGTAGACCATCGTACAGGTCTGTTGTCTGCTATCCAGCACTTGCAGTAATCGCAGAATTTTTTTGGCTGAGACTTCCAGTAATCGGCCCTGAGGAGAGAAAGAAAAAGCATAATCTGAAACAGTAATCAAAGGCACAGGTTTTTATACATTATATATATATAACTAAACTTCAGAAACTCAATTTAGTTGTCTTCGGGTGACCAAGGGCTAAGAATTTGTTTGTCTTTTTTAAACCGAGTATGGGGAGCAAGCAAGAGCAGTTGTATCGACTACGGTGTGCCATAAAGCACATTTCGGGGTTGGGATTGTGTCCATCTGACCCCTGACGGCTGCAGGGGGTGATGCTGTGAGAACCAGAAACACAAGACAAAGCCAGCCAGGGATAAACAAACAGAAACCCTGCTGAAACACAGGGCCGACAGAAAAGCGCGAGTTGCGCCGTTTTTCATAAAAAAACGCATCCAACGCACGTTTCTCGAAGCAAAACTTTAGATTTCATGTCGAAGTCTACTTTGGAGACTGTGCAGAGGGAGCTCAGTAGCACAGAGGTGGAGTTCTGGACAACGTGAGCTACTGGGGAGAATTCCCAGTAGAACAGACTCTGACCCCTGGGGTCACAGACGCAGCAGCACATGGTTTGGATGCTGCAGGGTAAAAACCTGAGTATTCCTGCACTTAGAAGCTGCATACGTGCGAGGAAACTTGGGGGAAAACTCTTCAGTGCTCAAAGGTTCGCACGTTAATTTAAGAGTAAAACAAACAACCCCTCCAATGGCTGTTTCTTCCTCAAAAAAAGGCTTTCTAATGCCAGCTGAGGCTTGTGCAGAAATAACTGAATTTCTCACTAGCTTGCTGCAACAGATGCCGTGCTTTGGTTCAACATAACACATTTCCAGCAAGAGACTTGTATCGTTTTAAGTTAAAATGAGAAAGAATGAGGGACAAAAACAACAACTCAAGATTACACTGAGACCATCGAAAAAAGGTCAGTCCAAAAAAGTGAATCTTTGCCTTCCATCTGAAGATCCATGTACAGAGTTCAAGGAAAACACGCCCTGGTGCTTTTATTCAATAAAACCAAAAATTCTTCCATGCACAACAGCAGCACCCTCAGACCTTCCGATAAGTGCCAGCAGAGCTTTCATACCAGAAACAGACTTGATTGACTACACTCTTAAAATTTAAGCAAATAACAAAACACGTAACTCCCACCAGCGCTTCGGGTAAAAACAATCTCTAAGAGGCTACGGTTATTTATAAATGTAAGTACAAAGGCTACGCTCTGCAAAAACGTACCAACCTACAAGCAACACTGTGTGAGCAAGGGGCAGCTTTTCAAGCAATTTTCTGGAAAGCTAGAAAGAAGCAGCTGGGCTTCCCCGATTTAAACAGAAATCCACTCATCCCTAAATGGTGTGCTTTAAAACTGGGTGATTACTTAGTTACGCATTTAATTAAAAGCCTTTTGAGATTTATATATCAAAATGTACTAGGGCCAAAGCCTGGGAAATGGAACACTCCGGCTGGGAAAGCAGCTGAGCGGGAGGGGGAAATTCAGAGCTCAGAAAAACCTCGAGGCCCTTTTTTCCTACTCAACCTACAGCTCCAAAATCACCTCTAAATCCTTCACGATCATCTAAGATCAACTTCCAGCTAAAAGATGGGTTCACCTTCCAAAGGCAATGGAACAATTCTGACAGAAAAACACATACGTTTAAAAAAAAAAAAAAATGCATGTTTCAGAGTGGCAAGAGCATCTGCATACTTCCAAGTTCAACCTATCGGGGCTGGCTCTTCACCAGAATCACGGGTAAATGCTAAAATTAAGACCGTACAGCTGCACCCTCCAAAAGTCATGACCTGAGAGTGTGAAGAACTGTATTTTCACAGCTATATTTTCCACCCATTTATTTCCTAAATGGTACTGGACATCACATCTGTCGCAAACCACTGTGGCTACGTGGAGAGTCATCGCGCCGAGGGATTAAGTACAATTCCAGGTCTTGACGACAGGACCCTTGTCGTGGTTTAACTCCGGCTAGCAAAATATCACAAAGCTGCTCTCACAGATCCCCCTCCCTTTCTCCAGCGGAGAGGACGAATCGGAGGAAAAAAGAAATAACGAAGCT